GTGGCTACATGAGGAAGAGAAGAGGGAAAGAAACAAGAGTTCAGTATTGGAGGGATGGTTTCACATGGTAAGTGTAATACTTTATTTATAAAAAAAATAAGACTGGGGCTGGGGATGTGGCTCAAGCGGTAGCGCGCTCGCCTGGCATGCGTGCGGCCCAGGTTGGATCCTCAGCACCACATACAAACAAAGATGTTGTGTCCGCCGAGAACTAAAAAAAAAAGTAAATATTAAAAAAAAATTCTCTCTCTCTCTCTCTCTCTTTAAAAAAAAAAATAAGACTGGACGGAAATATGGCAAATCTAGGTGGTGGGTAAATTAGTAACTTCCATGTTATTCTTTACACTTTTCTGTACTTTAAAATCAACAACTTAAAACACCCATACCTTCATTATTTCAGTTCATGTTTGTTTTCTTACCTGTCTTTACTTGTATTCTTTTGCCAGAAGCACCCGCGAGGGCACTAGGACATGAGGGAACAAAGAGTGGCCCCCCTGTGCTTAAAAGGCCACAGGTGATGCTGACATCTGCACATGCAGACACCACTGCCCAAAAGCATCTTTTTATTCTGCTCCTTCGTTTTGTTTGTTTTTTAAAGAAACATCATCTACTTTAATTAAGTTTTTAATTATAAAATAATTTTAAACACACACAGAAGATGCAAAACGATTATAGAGATTACAGTCCGTGCTCCCTTCACCCAACTTCTTCTACGACGGCATCCCACACAGCCACAGTGCAGTATAGAAGCCTGGGAACAGATGATATGAAATCCTACTAACTAACCTACAGCCTTATTTACATTTCACCATCAAAATATCATCTTTAATTATTTTGTTCTCAACTTGCCACATGACATGCTTTTATCCCCCAGGTGGCCACCAAAAACCACAAGATTCTTCCCGGTATAAACACTAGACWACACCATCCTGTTTAAATGACAAATGCATTCCTGATTCAAACTGTGCACTAGGGGCTGACTATATAATTTTTAAAAGGCAGATGACTTCCTTGGCTTTTCTTTTTTCTACCAGTTCCTCCTACTTCCTACTCTCAACCCAAACCTCAAGCTCCTTATCTTTTCCCAGTGTAAACSAAACCCCCTTTTAGTCTAGACTTCATAATAAATAGAGCAAAATTAAATGTTCCCAAAATGTTAACTTACCCATTGAGAAAAGGATCTGAGCTGTTATTAGTGATGGATCTCATATCTGGGGTCATGGCAGGAGGGTTTGCAGCAGCCTGGACTGCGGCCATTGTCTCRGCTTCCATGGGGAGCTGTCTGCAGAGGGCAGCTTCCTGCAGAGGTACAAGGATTAGAGCAGAGTGTACTTGTGGGAGAAGCACTCGCCAAATACAATGCACTTATATTAATTCCCAGTGAGTCTAAATCATCAGGAAGTCATGAGTGACATTAATCACCTTCCTACATTCACAGAGTTGAGGAGAAGTTCGGCTAACATTGGCCTCTGGATACTGACTTCTCCATGTACCACCCACAGGACTGTTTAAACACCAAATCACATCCAGGCTTCTCAGGCACTTTCTCAGAGACAAGGCTATTGCAGTCCCGATCTCAGAACAAACCTAAGCCAATCAATGCAATCGGATGACTCAGGACGAGTAGGTACATTCTAGTCCCTATTACTTACAGGCCAGCGAACCTGTATTACAGAATTCAGGATTTACATTAAATTACATCTGACAGTTTATGTCAATAATCAAGAAAACAGCTTAAAAAAAAATTTTCTACTGCATTGTATTGTTGATGTGACTAACATGGCTGAGGTTGGAGACCACGCAGAGCCAAACAGAACCCCATCAATAATTAGGTATCTGGGGGCACATGGGTTTTACCAGCAAGATCATGCTGCTAGAATTATTTTTTTAAGCCAGCACTGATTTGCCAAGTAGAGTCAATACAAACAACTACGAATTTATTGACTACAATCTCTCTAGGTAGTACCTCCTGGAGTTTGTCCGCTCTGACAAAAATGAGCAGGAATTAAATTGCTTTCCAATGCACTCCTACTTCTGGAGAAGAAGGATTCTGTACAGTGTGCTGCTTGGAAACCAAGGAGAGGCTCCTCCCCAGGCCACCATCTCCCACTCCAGGCTGAGGTCACTGAACCTCCCAGACCCCAGCCATGGCTGCAGTGGCAAGCAGACTCAGGCCGTCTGAGTTGCACATCTCATTAGCCCTCCCCAGACCTAACATGCCATGACTTCAGAGAGGAACTGTGGTCTAGACAAGTCCCAGTGAAGTCATCGGATATAAAAACTTTCGGTTACTAGAGTTCATTCTGTTGTTCGTGGGAGTCCTGGTAGCGTGACGGCTGCACACTGTGAGGCTTGCTGGGTAACTTAGCCTGACATCAACACCCTGATCAGAAAGGGCCCCCAGGTCACTGCTGTTGGCCTGGATGGCAAGTYGTCAGAATGCTTCACTCCCATACCTCATTCAGTGATCCATAACAAGCACATAAGAAATAAAGGTATTTTTAAAAGATGATTTTTAATCCATCATGTAAATCTTGGAAGAAAGTTTTGAAYAAATCTAGAAAAGTCAAACTATTTTCTGATGGTTACTTTTACACAGTGGGCAGCATGCCTTAGAAACGTTCCCCCAACAAAGTCTTCCCCAAAATCTTGTATAGGACGGCGGCGAGGCTGCACCAGGTGCCAAGAGCCCGTGCCACCAGCCCACTCCTGCAGCTCACATGCCTTGGCCCTAGTGCAAAAACATCTGGCCACTGACACAATTTCTAGTTCCTTATAAACTACAAATGCAAGAATCTTGTGGCTGATAACCTTCATTATATATATAAAAAAAAGACTTTAACTAGAAGTTTCTATTCTTCAACCATAAATGAATAAATTTGGGGGTTTACCTCCAGACAAATACCCTTTTAAACATAAAAGTTGATGGGGTGACAGTATTTCCTTATATTTCACAGAATTTTATCACCATGTCTGAAAAATTCATAAAAAAATTCAGGTTCAATTTATAAAATCCAGAAGGATCTGAATTCAAATAAGAAGAATCATTTCTGARACCTCAGCTACTTTAGATAAAAAAGAGAAGAAGACTGTATATGAATGGTTATCTGTAATGACATATAATATAGAAATAAAATTCAAGTTATAAGAACAAATCTCAGAAACAAGATATAAAGCATGTAGTTCTGAACTTCATTTTCATTTAGATTATTCCTGGAACACTTCAAATACAGAGAACGTAAAATAATGATATATTGTTGCTAAACATATAAATAAAATTCAAAGGGACTGTGTTGCAGCCAAAGCTGCGAGGAAGACGTCTCACTGCGCCAGTTCATTTCAGCCGCTGTTTTGAGTTCGGAAGAACTGAAGTTCTGCTCCCCAGCATTGACGGTGCTGCTATCTGCGGTGGAGACTTGACAAGTCACCCTAAGAGGAAGTGCTACCTGCTGACCACAGGGGTTCACAGTCTCACCCTCCATACAGATGATTGACACACGGGAGAATACACAAGGATGTTGCATGGAACTAAGAAAAGTGACATTGAGAAACAGGCCAGTCTAAGCTACAAGACCATTGCTCACAACGCAGCACCTTCTCTGAGACTCTTCCAAGATCATCTTCAGGTCACAAGGCACTATGCACTATGCACAGCAACCCCACCCCCACCCCTGCTTCAGATCCTACCTGGATGGGGACCGTAGCCCCCAGTCCTGCCYGAACCCCTCCTAGTCCCTCACAGCTCCCCCTGGCTCCGGGCAGTCTCCTGGTCTCTGCTATTCCTCCACTCCACACCATCTGTCCCTCTGCTTGGAGCCCACTCCTCAGATTTCCCCAAGGCTCATTATCTCACTCGCTGCTCATCTACAAACGTCACCCCCTCAGAGATGCTCCTCCCTAATCCTGCCTCTGTTAATTTGTCTCTTCCCCTGTATTTATTCTCTTCTCTCCACTTAGGCATTGGCTCTCTTTCCTGCTGGTATGTGAGCTCATGCCAGCAAGGCCTCGTCTGTCTTGTCTGTGTTGCTGCAACGTCTGTGCTGCTGCAACATGGCCATGCTGGGAACATAGTGTGTACTAAGGAAACACCCACTCGATGAATAAATGGACAGTTTCACTGGATCCAAGTGGAAAGATCTGAAGTCTCGATTAGTAATAAAAGGAAAAATAAACTGACAGCATTTGCTCAACCTTCCACCACAAAGATGAGTGACACAACAGCCTCTGCATTCATCCTAGCCAGGCGGGCGCCACACCGTCCACCCTAACTCTCTCCTKCTGCTCCCTCCCCAGCTCCTGACACAGGGCTGTGCGGCCAAAGCAGTCACCGGCAGGAAGTGGGCAGCCAATGCCTGGGTTCTGCCTGCCAGGCCACCTCCCAGCAAGCCTCTCACCCTCTGTGCTTCACAGTGGGAGCATGAGAGCTGCAGCTGGTGGGGGCTGCTGTGTGTGCCTTACAGGTGAGCAGCCGCCCCCAGGCCTCACCAAGAAGAGGCTCCAGCATCAGTCCTGCCTCATCTCTGCATTCCAAYCTCAAAAGATAAAAGCAAAAACAAACCATCTAAAAGGGATGCTGTCTGTGTGTCACAGACCCACTTTGAGTGGTAGGATATTTCAGCTTTCACTTCACCAGGATTAAACCAAAGTGTGAAATTCATCTAAAGGCTAAAAAAAACACTTTTGTTCAACAAGGAGAAGTTTATAAACCTTTTATATAACATAAAAATAAGTTTTGAATATAAAGTGGTGAAAATTATATTTTATAATACTTCTATATTTAGAATTTTTAAAATTCTAGCCTTTTTGAATGAAAATATTTCCTGATTTCTGCTCATGAATTAAAAGAAAAAGTACAGTATAAAATCTAAGTATGAGCTGGACATGGTGGTGCATGCCTATGATTCCAGTGACTTGGGAAGTTGAAGCAGGAGGACTACAAGTTGAAGGTCATCTTGGGCAACTTAGTGAGACCCTGTCTCAAAATTAAAAGGTTGGGGGGGGGGGCAGTGCTAGGTAGAACACCATGGGTTCAGTCTCTAATAACACCTAGTGTGTGTGTGTGTGTGTGTGTGTGTGTGTGTGTGTGTGTGTCTCTCTCTCTCTTTCTCTCTCTCTCTCTCTCACACACACACACACACACTATCAGTAACACAAAAAAACAAAAAATCCAAGGATAAAAATAAAAGGACAAACCTCATGAACATGACCCCAGCCAAACAGGGGCGAGCCTGGGGTTTTCTTTGTTAACTTTTAAACTAAACTTAGATATGAGGTTAAGGTCCAGGCCCAGCATGACTGGCCATCACSAGACACCCACTGCCCTGGCATGGGCAGCAATGAAAGGCAAGCACCAGGTTTTACGTAGCAGGAAATGACAGTCCAAACTGATGGAGCTAAAACAAGCCGTGTGCTGGGAAGGGAGGGGACGGTGGCCGAGGCTGGTCCAGGGTATGGCCCTTAGATCCTCTGGTCCAGCAGAGATGAGGAAAGCCGAGCTCCAGGCACCACTGCACCCCAGCACCGTCTCTTATACCCACCTCTGCCAGTGGCCTACCCACACGTCCCTCCAGTGTTCCCTCCATGTCCACCACACTTCCCACTGCCATCCCCAAGAAGCCGTCCATTTCCAGGCTCACCAGTGCCTTGGGTCCCTCCCCTAGAGCCTCAGAAGTCCAATCCACATCCACTAGGGCTTGCCTGCCACCACAACCCAGAAAGTAACCACTCCCTCCCAGCTCTGAATTCCTATACAAAGGTGTCCACTGGCCTCTGAGCCTCCATGCGCCTCAGGCGGGCTCCTCATATGGCTCAAGGCAGCTCTTCTTATTAATGTAGAACCTTTTCTTAATGTTATCACTACCCATCCAAGTTCAAGAGCCAAGTCAACAATTTCTTCCTTAGACCCCACAGAAATTTTTTTTTCTTTTTAATTTTTAGATGGACACAATACCTTTATTTATTTTTATGTGGTGCTCAGGATCAAACCCAGGGCCTCACACGTTGGAGTCACATGCTCCACCACTGAGCCCCAGCCCCAGCCCCTTAGCAATTCTTTTGCTTACACCTGTATTTGGTCTTTAAAACATACTCCTGAGACTATCAGGTGCCAGGAACCGTGTCTCACAGCAGCAACTGACAAGGAAGGGCCTTCTCCTTGTGAACATTCCAGAGTGGGAGGCAGACCATCAGGAAGAATGAAGGCTAAGGGTCAAGCCTCCTGCATCCCAGCTCCTAGGATCACCAGGCTCCACACCCTTGCCTTCTCCAGCAGCAGATCATCACTGCTTCTCTGTGTATCC